CACACACACACACACACACACACACACACACACACACACACACACACACACACACACACACACAGAGGATCATTCGTTAAGAGAGAGAGAGAGAGACCTCCCCCCCTTTGGCTCCCACTGTCTATCCGTCTCTCCGAGCCTGCATCTCTTGCCCCCCAATTGTGATTTTGGTTCCCGATTGCGATCCCCCCTCCCTCTCCCCTTTTTCCCATCTTGATTGTGGTCACCGCTCCCTCGCAAACTACGGCTCGTTTTCATGAGATCGAGTCCCTCGGTTGCGGTTTTGCGATCCCCCCTGCGTCCCCAACTGCGCCCCATTTCTGTCCCGATCCTGGTGCCGCTATCTACCCCTCCGCCCGTTCCGCTCCTGTTGCCTCCCCAAGTGCGTTCCCTCCCCAACTGCGCCCCGTTTCGCAGGACGGAATCCCCCATCCCATGATTGCGGTTTTCTGATCCCGATTGCGATCCCCCCCGTCTCCCCAACTGCGCCCCATTTCCATCCCGATCCCAATCCCGCTATCTTGCCCTGCCCCCGTTCCGCTCCCGCTGCCTACCCGCCTCTCCGAGCCCGAATCCCCGGCCCCGCGATTCGGATTTTCCGATCCCGATTGCGATCCCCCCTCCCTCCCCAATTGCGCCTCGTTTTTCGATCCCGATTGCGATTACCCCTCCCTCCCCAGCTGTGCCCCGTTGTCGAGCGCATCGGTCCGGCACTGCACAAGGCAGGGCGGGACCCTCCCGACCGCGTCTCGCAGGAGTTGGTCTTAATCCTTGTCGCAAATGCATATGGAGCTTCCACGAGCCGCTCCGGCCGAGTGCGCCAGCCATACCTCTCGCGAGCCCCTACGACAGGATAGGGCCTACGCGAGGCACGACTTACCTCCACCTTACGGGAGCTATCACCTCCCTTCAGTGGGCGTATCCCCGCCGAGCTACCAGTCCACAATACGAAAGTTAATCAGGTGCATTCACAGAGGTGGACCAGCCGAGGGCGTTTCTCCTACGCTGTAGCATAGGGGGTACGCGCGGTACTACGCCTCTATCGAACCCGCACGCGAACCAACATCTTGGGGGGCTGAGGTCCCAAGCGCGACTCATCGCCGGTCGACTAGGACACATCCCACACTCCACGCGCACACCACTCTAGAGAACATAAAAATAAACACACACACACACACACACATACATACATATACCTATACAGAATGACACTGAACAAACACGCGACAACACTCCTAGTCCCTTAGTAGTCGTCCCATAACTCTTCGATGCGGAATCGGATAAGCGTCGCGCGCGAGACTTAGTATAAAACCACGTGGACGCAGGGCCAACTTATATCGACTAGCAATGCATGAATAAGCAAGCAGTCGCAATGATGGCGTACTATATAGTGCCCATAATCAAGCGGTCCCTCGTGGATCCGAGTACCGCTTATGGGACTCAAGTGTCAGACTCGAAGTATCGTGAGGGTTTACCCCTTCACGATATTGCACGGCTGAAGGAATAGCCGTGCGGCCTCCGCGACACTTTCAGCCTTTGGGCTGAGTGTCCCGGTAGGCAGGGCAAATGGACTC